CCATGTAGAAAACAATACTCATATTTCTTTACAATCTTATTTTTTTTAGATTATTTATATAGATAATATAATGACGAATCACATTAATTAAATATAATATATTTTTTTTATAACAAATAAATGATCTAAATTATTGTTTAATATTAATTTCAACCAATTTTATAATTAAAAAAGAAATAACCCGCGCATCGCGCGGGTACTAACCTAGTTATTATAATTAAAAATAGGGAAGATTAAGAAGAAAATTAAAAACAAAGAAAACGAAGTTATTATTTCCTACTTTTCAAATTCTTACATGGATATAATAGTACAATAAAAAGTAATTTTACCATATACATAAATATCCTATACATCTACATTAAAAACAAAGAAAGCGATGTTTGAAGCAATTTGCTAAAATCACCTATACATCTACATGACCGTTATGATAATTATAAAAGTAAAATTTATTATAATTTAATAAGTTCAAAATTACACCAGATCAAACTGGTCAATAGTAGAATCAATTGACCCACTACTAAACAAAAACGTAAGAGTATTTATTACCCACTAATGGCCATGATTATTATTAGGGTTAAATTGCATCTTCAAATCTAAACCACACGGTGGAGAAGTGGAGATAACCTTATTAATATTGTAATTGGCTTATAAATATATTATTATGTGTGTTTGTAAAAAAATATATACCAAAATGTGGTCAAGAATATTAATTGTCCCACTACTGTAAACAAAAACGGTGATAAGAGTATTTATTATCCACCTATGCTAATGGTATATTGAAAAGTTTAATGGTTAATGCTGATATTAATAAACATTTTAATGAGTTTTTTTAACATAGTTATTTGATTTTGCATTTGGCGTTATGTTTTGAATCCATTTAATAAACAATTGGCATTGAAACGACGATGAGCGAAACTAACCTTAAAGCTAAAACAAAAAGTGGTTGGAAAAGTCATCTCCTTATTTTTCGTTCCCTAATCATTTTTTTAATTGTCATGTTCTTATGTATAATCCTGTTTTTTTTTTTTAAATATGTATCCGGATGTATAAGGATTTGATAGTGTATAAATGTGTTTGTACCTGTGTGATTTGAGTGGCAAAGTTGTTAGAGAGTTGCGGTCAAGGGGCTATCGAGAACGTCGGGCCAAGGCGAAAATGAGTTCAGGAACGAGTGGCGAAGCTTCAACACAGAAATCTGTCAGGCTTCTCCCGTTTTGCTTTGAAAGAGAAGAGAAGATATGTGTCAACGAGTTTTTCCCCAACAAAAACCTCGATAACTTCCTGTTTGGTCTGTTGCAATACCTCTATTACTTTTTCGTTTTGCCCATCAAAAGTTTGGATAATCCTTTAGCCACCGTATTCTCCACTAATCCCCTAATGAAAACGGTTACTACTGGAAAAAGGCGTTCTAAATTTTTTCATTACATGCCCCTTTTGTTTTGTTTTTCAAATGATCTTACCATTGAAGACCCGTTTTCTGCGGAAGTTTAAAATCTCTTGAAAACCCTTTTATATCAAAAGTTTGTCGGTGTCGTTTGATGAACAATCGTTGTCTTCTCGAGCATGTTGTGTTTGTGGATCTCTCCCGAGATTAATTTCGAATAAAATCTTTCCATTGTGTCTATTTGAAAAAACCGTTAGTTTGACCGCGCATTTATTGCAGGCTACGCTATCTGCATTAGAAGAAGACCGTTCATCATGATGTGAAAATGGAGAATATGCTTTTACACACGAGGAAGATAGATGATTTTGGGATTGTTCGGATGGAAGCTTAGAATCCAAAGGAACATGACTGTTTAAACTGGTACTCTTGGATACATCGATCCTAATGCATATACACTAATCTCTCTCTCTTTCTCCTCTCTCAGATGACTTAAACAAATACTATAATAATTCATTGTGTTTAAGTTTTAAATGGCAAACACTACAACAGAAGATGCAACGTTTACAGATTCGCGATATGCTTGAGAAAAATCTACTGCGGTGACATACCATATGTTGATTTTACCTTTGTCCATGTCTCTTCTGCAGTTGTCCGACAAGTGAGTATATGAACATTTAAACTTCTGAGTTCACTTTCGTAGGTTCTTTTTCCCCCCGCATCATTAATTCACGACGATGTATTTATCTTGAATATAAAGGATAAGATTTATCAATTTAATGATTAGCTCTGTAGGGAGGCAACACATCTATGGAGCGGTTAGAACAAGCGTCTCCGTTTGCTACTCCGTCGCCGAAAGGGTTTGCGTTGCATGTGTTGTTGTCGTTGCCGATTATGTGGGGGGCTAAGCACAGGATTCATTCCAAAAGACAAGTAATCGAAAATAGTTTCCCAATTTTAATATATATGTAATTAGAAAGTCTGAAATATATATATATATATATATAAGTAATTATTAATATTGTAAATAAAGATGATTCCATTGGCGGGTTATTCGAAACGGGAGGATTATATTAAAACCGCCGAAAAGAGAGTTGGTCTATTAATAATATTATAAACGAAGTGTAATAATCCATAATCCATATCTTAATATATTAAAATTCCAAGCCGCAAAAGCGCGAAGAGCAACGATTCTCGTTGATCGGACCGAACGGGACTACTCAGTGCGTAAATCCGACCACACTGAAAATTCCGGCGAACCGTCGCCGGAATTTTGGCCGGAAAACCGCCGGCCGGCGGGACAGTCACCCCGTGGACCATCCCATGTCGGCACGAACGTGTATGAGGGGGGGAACATACACGACCGTACCGACCCATCCAGACCCCAACTACCATGCCCCCCCTATTGTCACGCGCCTATATTTTGGGTAATTTTCTGCGTCATTTTTGCTTGTCCCTTGGCATATTTTTCGGACCACAGGAGACATTCCAGGCCGAGCCATGTGCTAAGCCCGATGGACGAGAGCCATGTACCAGAACTTCTCCCCGAAGCCGACTCACACTCCGGACGACCGCACGTTCGGACGACCATGACAAGCCCTCCCGACATTCACGGACGCAGCCCCGAACCATGACCACGAAGCCAAGACCTTGTCCCCGGCTCACTTGGAGATTCTCGACCAATGCCTCCTCGGACCAAAGCCCGCTTGGACCGCTACCCCTTGTGAGCTTGAGGAGTGACTTCGGCTTGGGCTTGCAGAGAAGCCCAAGTCCCACGGACCAAGCCCATTGGTCTCCCTCTCGGCCCATCAGAATGGGTCCCCCTTTTGGTCCAAGATTCGCCCAAGTGAAGATAAGGCAAGTGCATCATGATCTCTTCGGATATGGCAAGTTCTAGAGTGTTCCATCTTGATTTGGTATGATTGTCCTTGATTGAATGTGACGGATCATGATTGGAGATGATTGATCATGATTGGATCTAATTATCCATGATTGAATGCAATCTCGCCAATTATGGGAAGTTCTTTGATCTTGGCTCGATTAGAGGGATCCGATTATTGTGAGCTTTCCTTATGACTTTTAAGCATGGGCCATTATAAAATCCCAAGGCTGGTCATTTGGAGAGACAATCCGAAAATCCCTTTCATTCTCTCTTAGTCGAGTTCTCTCTTGTAGTCTCGCTTGTGTTCTCGTTCGCCGGTTCGTTCCGGCCACCGTCGCCGGAACGGACCCGGGCTCCCGTTGTAACCTTGTCTCGCACCTTTAATGAAATGACCTCGTACTTGGTTCATTCTCATCTCTCTCGCTCTCTCTTTCTCTCGGCCTTCTCTTTTCCCATTCGGATCCCATGATCCTAGGCTTGGTTCGGTTCCCGTTCGAGCATGACTTGAGTTTCTCGGCCAAGACCTCTCTCCACGAGTCTTTGGACCGAAACTCTTCGTTCATCCGAACCTCATTCCGCATCGGACCGAACCGCCGGACACACTAGCTTGACCTCTCAAGTTAGTGCGTCTCACTATATAGGTTTATTTGCAAAAAAGCTTCTGGCACCAGGAAACATTGAAATGTTTGAGCAGAAGTACAGCCATAGAAAAAAATCTGCTCCGAATTTTGATCTGATTTTTTGTACGCGACATTATGGTGGTATGATCTTATTTGTGGCAAAGTTTCATAATTTTCTGAGCACCGGAACTATTTTTCCCGAATTTTTTACCGAATATCGTCGATAGTTCATAATAATTACATACGAATGAGTTTTTCAGCGACACTTCTTGGGAAGCCTCTACATCTCATATTTATGTTGTGGTATAAATTTCATTCCGTTTGGAAAAGAAATGACTGATGAAAATTATTATTTTCGATTTTCCGCACATGGTGGTCCGAGAAATCTCGCATAGGTCCGAGAAACTGCGTCCGTCCCGTCCGAGAAACTGCGCACAGGTCCGAGAAACCTCGAACATGTTCGAAAACTTCCGTTCATAGTAATAATAATAATAACTATTGTTATTATAATTGACCGAACTCAAGGTGGGTCCAATCCAATATTGTAGGGGTACTTCGGTAAAATTAGGGGTTTAGCTGGCGCGGGGTATATTTGTCTCTGCAGACCACATGACTCCATCGGTACTTTTGGAGTGAAATATAAAAAAAAATACATGAAAATATTAATTGACTTTCAGAAAACTCCGTTAATAAATTTGTCTCACTTTACTTTTTATTAATTACTTTCTGTACTTTTTTTATATATTTGCTTTCTGGCGCGGGGTATATTTGCACATATATATATATATAGAAATAAAAACGCTGGCCTCAACTTAGTTGAATGGATTGGTTTTTCCGCATACATTTTTTGGTCACAAGTTCTAATCCAATAGGTTAGATTTTTTTTTTATTAAATTCTGTTAACAAAATTACAACTTTAATATATGTATACTATTTAATTTTTATTTATACAAATAAATTTTAGCGGATGAAAAATTATTTATAACGAAATAAAAAAAATTAAATTTAACTAAGTTATGGTATCAATTGACAATTTCACATGATTCATACTCAGATCAGATGTGTATAAAAAACTGCAAAATACATGTGTTTAAAGATTAGATTAATTCTCTACCCATCCATCCACATTTAACATATTTATTAAAATAAATTATTATTTTTTTAACGTGACATCAATAACAAAAAAGTTGCACTAATGAAGAACTTGCTTTGCTTGGGATTTTAAGCTTCTTACCTGACTTTCTTCATTATGCCTATCATCTTTCATGAATTGTATTTTTGATGATCTTCCAAAGACAACTCACCGTCTCTGCCCATAAACTCTTTGCTGATTGATTCACCCTGCTTCCATCTGCACAGTCTTCTACAACACCATTTTGATCCCTGCAAGTGCAAGATCCAACAAAACATACATACAATCGAAGTTAACCTCTCAAGGTTCTTGTAATAATGCCGCTTGACCCCATATTCTTAATATACTAACTTCTGGATTCATGTCTACTACGCCCAGAATAATGTATTATTGCTCCTATCTATCATATGGGGGGGAAAAAAGGTTTTTTTTTGGGGGGTGGCTCGTCCTAACCCGTAGAAGGGCTTGCTCCCCTCTTTTCGTATACACGGAGTCTAACTTAACTATCACTGACATGTCCAATACTCGATTCCACGCAACTCAATTATCCCATGTCAAGACATAAACCTAGGAGTATCACCATTCCCTTTCTACCAACATCACTAGGTATGCAAACAAAACCCGACACTGCGATAGGAAAGAGATAAGGTACTCGTTTTGAAGCACAAGACTCTTGTCAATTCGATGGAGTAAGTAAGTGGTTTACCTTCTCACAAAGATCCACTCCTAAGAAGTTGCACTCTGTCCTCGCTTAAAAGACCGAGCAGTCCCTGACCGAGCACCTTTCTGTATTTCACATCTTGAAGAGGATAACTTGCCAGATTCACTCGCTGAGTAACATCAAAAGATGACAGCTCTTGCAATGTGACCTCATGTGTGGACTCATCGCAAGATGCAAAGAGTTGTTTCTTCTCCCCTAAGTCCAAAATTCTTGTTTTCGGCAACCGGATGTTGTCCACAAAAGCATATGTGGAACTCAGCGTCTGATAAGCATCCACACATGTTCTCTTGAGACATAAAAAAGTGCCCTGTACAAAGTGACTATTAACTCCAAAAGCAGCCATTGAAGGCTGAGTTGAGAAGGACTCATCAGAAAGTTCAACCCTTGGTCGAAATGAGGCTACCACATGATCACTATCAGGACAATACGAAGAGGAGATGCAAACTCCTGAGATCCCGGTTCCCGAAACCAATGATGGCCTGAAAAAGCCAAAATCATTAACAGGTTAGACCATACAAGTTGGTGGTGAAATACAGAACGTAGGTTTCGAGAGGTAAAAGGGCATTCATAAGCTTCTCCCAGCTATTGCCCCAATCTCATTGAATATATATACTTTTTTTGAAGGTTTCAATTAGGTAACAAGAGTTATTCAGGCAGCAATCATTACTGCAGAGCCAGACAAAGGAATATGGTACAGCCTTGGTTTCTTGAGGTCTGAAATAATCTGAAAAACAGCAGAGTCAAACCAAAGCAAAGCTTCACCTTTCATCGGTGCCACCAATGTTCCACTGACACAGCCCAATGGATGAAGCAGACAATAGGGAACTAACGGAAGAAGAAGTTGGAGTGGAATTGATAGAGAGACAATGTATTGTATGAACTGGGTTGCTTGTTAAGCCAGTTAATGATGCCAAAGGTCCCATGGTTTGACGTGTGTCAAATACTAAAACCATCCCATTCTGCAAGAAAGTCATTCAGGAGAGGAAAGATAGGGAAAGCATGAGTTAGGACACAACATCTACATCAGAAGAGTTGAAAATAGTAAAAGAAAATTTCTAGACCTGTAGTCCAGCATAAACATGGTGAGAACTGTTGACATCCCAAGAACATGACCAAGCTGCGGCCTGGAAAAGAATGTCTAACTAGATTAACACAATCCAATCCATTCAGACAGAACAGAGACTAAGAATATAATTCGATTCAACTAAGCAAAGGAAATATTCTAACAGAAACAGCTCATGAACACATATGTATGGTTTTACACATGAAAGACCAGGGCAATATCATCACAGGGTTTCAGAACATAAAACTATTTCCCAGAATTCTAAATGGTATGGCCAGCAAGTGTTAATCTTCGCTCAAATGCATGCAAACATATCAGCCAAAATGAAAGTTGTCCAGTAGACCAATCCTTCTCTAAGAATTGTGCCAATGAATGTTTTGTTGATCATTGCTGAAAAGAGTAAAAACAAGCCACCAAGTTCAACAAAGATTCGTAAAAAAAAATGGCAAAAGGTTGCAATTTACCGGCAGATCATAGGAGAGGACAGTGTGGTGGCTCTCCATGCTGAAAAATATTGAACAGATACATAATCTGGGGAACCAGGAAATTATCATAGGAAAAGCGAAACAACCTTAAAAAGGAAGGAAAGTCGAGACCTTATAACCGATAACTTCTTGCCTAACGAGCCTACTACTGCAAGACCATCATTATTGGGGGAAACGTGAAGATCCTTGATGGCTTTGGTAGTAGAAGGCAATGGATAATCATCAGTTTCATGAGGAGATATAAGGCTCATCTGCAATGCAATTGAAGATCCTATAATTGCATTCTTACAGCTTTTAATTTGACATCAGATCAATATTGCAAGATGCTGAGGCTAAGAAACTTACTCGGGTAAGCACATACGTTCCACCCATCCCTGAGAGCCTACGAGCCAACAATAAAACTTGTCTAGTAGCATCTATATCAAATAAGCGTGCACCACTAACTTGCAGTTCCCCCTAAAGACAAAGGATGAAAAGAAACTTGGATTTTGCATCAGACATCCAAAAATATAAACGCAATTGCATGTGCATAGAAGCACATGCAACTCTATGGTTCATACACAAAACAAATCTTGTCAATTGGAAGTTAGTTGCAAACTTGCAATTTGTGGTTAAGTTAAAAAATAACTGGACATTACTAAGGACATTGCTGCCTAAGCCTACACAGCTAGGATCTAGAAATAAAACAATATGCCATACCTGAGGCCTGAAGTTACAAGAAGGTGCCTGTCCATAGGGGTCTTGACAGATGTTACGACCTGAAATGTTTAACAAAGATACGTGCATCGATTTCCTCTTTTTTTCTAAAAAAGAATATATCAGTTTGAAATCTAGAGATAGTTTGTGGCTAGCTCAGCTTTGGAAAGACACCGAGAATATCAAGTCTACTTATTTAAGGCTGACAATTACATGTGCATCCAACAAAAAATGACAAGACCTTTGATATCAGAAAATTTTAATGAAAGCTGACAAAGATTAGGCTAACAATAAAATTTATGATATAGTAGAACTTGTCCACCGATGAGGAGATTTATAGTTGACAGAGCTGGCACCTATTACAATCATAAAGTTCATTAGTGTGTATTTTACCAGGTATACATTGCTCCTGAGAAGCCACGCATGTCTTCCTCTGCCCATTCTTCATCATATTCTCCATAGAAACTATGCTCTGTAAGAAACAAAATTATAAGGCTGATATTTGACCAACAGACAGTAACTTAACACAGACAAAGGATAAATAAAATCTTAAACTAAAACATAATTAAAGCCCAGAGTGAAAGCTGACAAAGAACCAGGATACAACTGCTCAAGTGAAAGACAGCGGAGGACAAAATAGTTTTTAAAAAATTTGGAAATTCAAAAAAACCTCCATACTCAATATATAGAACAGGTCAGACATGCAAACTATAAGCTCTATACAAAAAAATTAACCTGACTTTGATATATTCCAGACTCATCCAAGACCCCGAAAAAGGAAGCCAATAAACACATAATCACAATCGGTCCGTATATAAGCAATTTTTCAAGTGTGAGCAGAGAACGGTAGACTTTTGTCTATTACCTTCCTCAGCTGATTAACTTCTGATCGCAACTCCGCTTCCACTTTTCTCCATTCAGCTTCTTTTTTACCCCAACCAGCTTCCTGTAAATAATTAGAAAGAAATGGTTTAACTCTATGAAACCAGCACAAGAGTTTCCACTATTTATATAGAAGTTATATATTTCCCCAACAAACTCATAAGTTATATGTATATCTACCTGCATTCACATTTTAATGGCCATAATTTGAGAATTGAGATTTCAGCAACCAGTAAGAAAGGGTCATATCATGAACTTGCCCAAATTTTTCTAGTAGTAATCTGTTATACCTTCTTCTCAAGAGAACTTAATTTGGCCTCCAGGTATAAGATCCTCTGCAAATAGAAAACTATAACATCAGATCTAGATAACAATTTGTTTCATTACATCTCCAAAAAATAATACGACCTTGTGGGATTCACCATCTACTGCCGCAATCCTTGAAGCAAAAATTTTCCGGACATCCTTTACACTACATTTCCTGTTGCACTGCGGACACTAAAAGAACCACCAAAAGTCAGATCTTGGAACAAAAAATCCGCGACAACTACTCAGAGACAAAAGCAACCAAATAACAACCAATACCTTCCCTGAACTCCGCCGCTGCTGTAACCATTTCTTGATGCAGGAAAACCCATATAAGTGTCCACAAGGTAGGCAACTTCAATCATTGGGAAAGAAAAAGGATAAAACAGCATAAGTTGCACTCAGAATATTTAGACTCCAAACCCTCAAATCCACCCAAAATCCCGGTTGATCAAGCACGAAAGAATTGCTCATCACTATCAAACCATCTAAGAAAAAAAAAATAACCCATCAGAGAATTCACATAAACAAAGCTAAGCAAATGCTTCTCCCCAGCTGTTCACTACACATGTGTTCGAACCTACACTAGCAACTCAACCTCTAAGGTACTTTAACAAAGGCAGAAAACGCACAATCAAAATTAAAAAAGGCAAAATTTGATCGAAAACAGTCACAGGAATCGAGGATACCAGATGTGATGTTCGCCGCCATTAGTCCAAGGTTCCATGCAAATGAGACAGGATAACCCCTCGGTCTCGCCACGGTTCCAGAAGCCGTCCTCCTGAGATCCCGAAGTCGAACAAACAGCGTCCCCTCCTCCACCGCCCTCCAACCTTCTTTGGTTCTCCTTCTCGTCATTCTCGTTCTGGCAAACCCCAGGCGAGTCCGGCACTTCGATGTACTCTCTGGCTCCTCGCTCGTCTTCTCCGCCTTCTTCTTCTTCGTCGTCGTTGGTGTCGTCGTCGTCGGTGTCGTCGTCGTCGTTGGTGTCGTCGTCTTCGTCGTCGGTTTCGTCTCCTAGATGCTGAAGGACTTCGTACTGGTGTTCTTCTTCGTCGGAGAAGGCATTACGCCGGTGAGGGGACGACATTAGGGCAAAATTCGAGCGCTAAACCAAAGGCCCGTTCTTCTCGGAAGCAAAACTGAAAAGGATCAAATTTTGTTATAATATATTAATTATTCATTTTATTTTTGTTAAAAAAATTTCAAAATTCATCTTACTTTGTTAAAGCCGTTATACTTTTCTTAAAACATTTTGGTCGGAAGGAAATATGTATAAGTTTATTAAAGTTCGGAGAAAAAAAAATAGACAGACAGACGAGGGGGACCTCTTTTTTACTAAAACTTGTTTGAGGTTTTTAGTGTAATTAATAAAAACTGTGGTGCTCAAAATAAAAAAATTAAAAATGCGGTGAGCGTGGATCGAACACGCGACCTTCAGATCTTCAGTCTGACGCTCTCCCAACTGAGCTATCCCCGCCTCTGATCATGTGTGACTCTTTGATCCAATCTTTTTCTAGAATAGTGTAAACCTTAAAAGTCCGGAGAGAGGCGAAGGGGTGGATGAAGAAGGAGATGGCGAGAAGCATCTCTTACATCACCTCTTCTCAGCTCCTGGCTCTCCGTTGCCGACCCAACATCGCCATCGTCGACGTCAGGTAATTTTTTCTTATACGCACACACGCGTTTGTTTTTTTGTTTCTCGGTTCTTGCGGAAAAGCTGCGATTTGATCGGGTCCTCCAGTTGGATCGAGTGAAATCTCGTGATTTTTTTATTTGTATGATTTAATGTATTTATGTCGGAATCAATTCGATGGCTTTCGGTTTGGATGTTCCGGGGTTCGAAAGTTAGTTAACGGGATCATATACTTGTATAATTCTTTCCCATTCTGGTCAATTCTGGATTTCAAGTTATGAACAAGTGGAATCCCCAAGCTGATGATTCGAATCCATGAAGGAATCATGTGTTTCTTTCGCAAAATCTGAAATCCGATGAGTTTTTGTTGGATTCAATGGTGGGAGGATGAATACAGGGAATATCGTTATATGTCGTTGAAGCTTCTGATACAGAGTTGCCTCATCTTTTTCTTTTTTGGGGTTAGCAGATGCAGAGTTACAGCTTAAACTGATGTTATCCTTTTATTAGAATCTCAGTATCCGAGGATCACTGTTTTTGTTCTTATGGTTTCCTGATGTGGTAATGGTTTTTGAGGTATTCACAGGGATGAAGAGAGGAGTTACGATGGGCATATAGCCGGTTCACTGCACTACGCAAGTGACACATTCACCGATAAGATCTCTAATCTTGTTCATGATGTGAAGGGTAAAGACACTCTTGTCTTCCATTGCGCTCTGAGCCAGGTCCCCCCCCCCTCCCTCTTTCTTAGCTCCTGTTTTAGTGTTTTATCTTCTTTTCCTCACGCTCGGATTGATCTGATGCAAGATTGCTCTTTGTTTTCGGCGATTTGATTTTTTCCTTTAGGAAATGTTTCACTGAAATGTTCAGTTTAGAGAATCTATGGCGGTCCATGACATTTGAGTTTTGATATTGTTGGTAGATTTGTAATTCGTGGGTTCGATGTTTTCAGCTAGAATTTGCAAGATGGCTGATTTTTTTTCTCTGCAGTCCACCGATATTGTAATGAACTTAAATTGCATGATCTAGTTCTCGAAACGGGTTCCCGTAGAATGGCTTCCTTTGTTTACATGTTTATTCTGCTGTAGGGAATTGCATCCTTTGTTTCAGCTTTATCATGTTTCTTGTGACGAGAAATCTTGTTCTGTCTCAGCAATGTAGTTATTTGTCTTGAAGGTTCGTGGCCCGACTTGTGCAAGAAGGCTTGCGAATTTTCTCGAGGAGGCAAAGGAGGAGACAGGAATCAAGAACATAATGGTTCTGGAACGCGGCTTCAATGGTTGGGATGCTTCCGGAAAACCAGTTTGCCGCTGCTCAGATGTCCCGTGCAAGGGTGAATGCGCATAAAACCCGGAAGATAAGATTCATATGTTACTACTCTGAGGCCTTATTCGGGTTCTCGAACATTGAAACCAAATCGATCTCCAAGTTATCGAGTATCTAAGACTGTCATAAAACGAGAGAGATTGCTAACCATGGCTTGTTTGTAATGAGCTATGGGAACTCTTTGCCATTTCTTCTCCATCTGAATGGATAGTATCAGTAAGATATATATATATATATACACATATATATGGTTTTGTCTATTGCTGCATCCGTGTCCTAAACGGATCCAAGATCTTGAAAAATTTCCAAGAATTGGTGATGCCGTTGAAAGAGATGTAGACCGGTTCGGTTTTTTATTAGGAAATTAAACCGGAAAAAAACGAATCTCGCATAAATTTGGTTTTGCTCTGGTCTTGTTAGGTTTACCGAGATTTGTTATGGTTTAACTTTGGAATTGGTCGGTTTAGTTCGTTGGTTTATAAGCGGAAGAAGCTAACTTTTGTTTCCCCGACTCCGTCAAAACCTCTACCCGAGTTGGAGTATTTCCCTTGCTTTTACGGAGAAAACATAAGCGACGACTTCGCCGTTGATCGTTTTCATCTTGCCGATTCCAGATTCCGTAATTCGAGTTTCGATATGGTATAATTTGTTTATTTGATGTAGGGTTTCCAATTTCCCAGATTCCCCTTTTGGATTCTTGCGTTTGATTTTCGGAATTTCCGCAGGTTTGCCTTATGTGCTTGGTGCCGCTGTTCCTCGTCCCGATAGTCAATTTGTTGCCTCGGATCCTCGACTATTTCATGGTAATACCCTCGTTTCTGCTTAATCTCTTGATTTTTTTTTCTCACCAAACATGGTAGATTTTGTTGTTGAATCTATTATATCGTACCTAGTTTTGATTCTGTCTCCTCAGCTTTATCTGCGTTGATTTGTCTACGTTGCTGTTATATGTTGACGAAAAAGATATTGACAAGGAAACACTAACGATGACATGAAACAAGAGTGAGAGATAAGAATTTGAAGAAAAAAATATATATGAAATCAGGTTCCAAACTTGGATTCAGGAACGAAACAAAGATACAAACTGTTTTATCCGGAGAAAGTGTTGAGAACTCGGGTTCAGTTTAAAGCTTTGGTCGTATGGTAGCTATGGAAGGAAGCTTTAATCTTAGTTATGTCCGATATTCCATCTGGGTTCGTTCAGGAGATAGAATTTTCGCCTTCTGAAATGTTACAGCTTTATGTTTTCATCAGTGTATACTGATGTAGTAGCTTCGGTTCTTTCATGACCTTTAAGCTCTGTTGTTTCTGGTGGGCATTTTGTAATGATACTCTTCATGAAATCTTTGATCCTCTTATAATTCGGTATAAATTCTTAAACCGGTTGTTGATTCATCCTTTTTTTTGGTAAAACTAGGCCAAAGTGTATGCATTGCTGGGGTGGGAATACAGGAAACCTGAGAGGGCTCCTCCAGTGTGTCCATATAAGCCTTCTACAAGAAATGGCAATGCCACAAAGGTAAGTGAAAGTAACGTTTGGCTGTGTTTGCGGTTTGTAAAGTGAACTCCTTTTAGACAATTTTCTCAAGATGATGAAGCAGTTATTGATGAACAATGCCCATGTGGCTTGGCTTCAACGGATTCAGGCTTTTGCTTTTGCCTTCTGGCTTTTCTCTAGAAAGCTTCTCTCTTTTTTTTTTCGGTTGAAGTTTCCTGCCTTTTGTCTGACAAAAAATCCGCCTTTATGTCCTTTATAAAGCAAAAAACTTTTCTTGGAACCTCGATTCATCATATGAGTATATGGGTGTTATATAAGTAGTATATGATGGATATATATATATATGTGTGTGTGTGTGTGTGTGTATCAGTTCTGAGAACATGATTTAACCCCAAGAGCAAACTGCATTGGTCAATTGTTCTTTCAGACTGTGAACTTGACTAAGTTTGTTTCCATCTGGTTAGGTTTATGCTTTATCTTATTTTAACGTAATCTGCATCTGTTCCTTTCTGTTCTGATTTATCTACGTATTCGTATTTGCATCTGTACGTATTCATATTCACATCTATACGTATTCGCATCTGTTCGTTTTGGTTTCGCTCGAAGTCGACACCTTACCTCTGAATCTCTCCCTAAACTTTCCGACAGGAGGCTCCGGAAAACGTACAAAATCCGGTGGCAAGAGACGCAGAGGTGAAGCAGGACTGAACCGAACGTGGATATATGGTGCTGAGCTTGATGTGTTCTTGTTATTACAGTCTGGAATAATATATGTTTCTGTTCATTTATTACAAAATAACGCTAATTAGAATGTCACGGTTTAATGTTTTTGTTGTGTTATATGTATTGTCCCCCTATTAAATTGGTTGTTCTTACATTAATCCTGAATCAAGAGCCATCCAAATGATTTGGAATATAGTTTTCTTTCTAAATTTAAAGTTCAAATTTAGGATGGGATAAACGATCTGAATCTCATTCTATCGGTTGAACCAAAAATAATATTTACAAGAGGAAAGCTAATTAAATTTATCTTTTTAGATTGTCGTATCAAACAATGGGAATATAACCAAACCATTATGATTTGTTCTCATGGATATTAATTTCTTGTAATCAATTCAAGTTTTGCATATTATTATTCAATTAATTCAAATAGATTGTATCAGTTTAACCAAATCCATTACATGTTATACCGTCGCATGCTTCCACTCACTCTTGGGATTATAATAAAGCTGTGTTAAAATTAGAATGCCGTTGGAAAATATAATTATATATGCGTCGCATGGACCGACCGTCTCATGTTGCGAGCGCTTCACTCATAAGCCACGTGTAAACTGATTTTGTTAAGGTAAAATATCTTCTAATTTCTTGGATGTCGTTAAAAAAAATAATCTGTATTAATATATATATATATATATAACAAATAATTTAATATTTACACGGTTATTTTCTCTTTTGAAGCTCTCTTTTTTTCCCTTGATGATTTTTTGTTCCCTCTTTGTAGCTCCTCTTCTCTTTTCTCGTTCGCTCTCTTCCGGGATTTGATCGCCGGAGAAGCATCACCGTCCGACCTGCCGGAAATTTTATCCGGCATTCTTTACGATTGTTTGATTCCCGCCGGCTCAGATCTTCGACAACATATCGGTACATTTCTCGCCTTTTCATCTTATTCACGCCTTATATATGAGGAACTTGATCCACGAGAAGCCCATTGGGAGATATCTGTTCGCGAGTATTTGAATCTGAATAGTTAGGGTTTCGATTCGTCACGTTGCATGCTGATCCATTGAGTTCTCTGTCAGTGATCTTCTCCGTGATAATCCAGCTCGGGAAAACCTAGGGTTTCTATTTAGGGGAAGAGGAAAGCCAGGGTCTTGCCTCGCTGCGTCGCCATGTTTAAGAAAATCATGAAGGGAGGGCACCGGAAGCCCTCTAAATCCGAGCCTAGTGACCAGTCCATGTACGGGTTTTGTCCTCCGGGTAGGTCAGGTCCAGGGTCCGATGTGGTTGTTAGCCACGCGTCTCGCGGTGGCCCGGTTCCTTCCTCACCGGGGCCTGTGGCCACCCCACCGCTGTTACCGATGGGTTCCGTTGAGCCCCTCCCGTTGTTCAGGGATGTTCCTGTTTCGGAGCGGCAACACCTGTTCTTGAGAAAGCTGCAGATTTGTTCTTTCCAATTCGATTTCACTGACACGATGAAAAATGCGAGAGAGAAAGAGATTAAAAGGCAGACTTTACTGGAGCTCGTGGATTTTATACAGTCTGGATCGGGTAAGATCACGGAAGCATGTCAGGAAGAAATGATAAAGATGATTTCTCTCAATGTATTCCGGTGTCTGCCTCCAGCTTCGCACGAGAATACGGGTCAAGAGCCTGCAGATCCAGAGGAAGAGGAGCCCTATCTGGAACCCTCTTGGCCTCATTTGCAGCTAGTGTATGAGTTATTACTGAGATATGTTGTTTCTTCTGACACGGATACGAAGGTGGCCAAACGGTATATTGACCACTCTTTTGTGTTGAAGTTGCTTGACTTGTTTGATTCTGAAGACCCGAGAGAGAGGGAGTACTTGAAAACGATTCTTCATAGGATCTACGGGAAGTTTATGGTCCACAGGCCCTTTATTAGGAAAGCAATTAACAACATATTCTATAGGTTTATTTACGAGACAGAGAGACACAGCGGGGTCGGGGAGCTGCTGGAGATTCTGGGCAGTATCATAAATGGGTTTGCCTTGCCAATGAAGGAGGAGCACAAGCTGTTTCTGGTCAGGGCGTTGATACCGCTGCATAAGCCAAAACCGATCTCTCTATACCATCAGCAACTGTCTTACTGTATCGTGCAGTTTGTCGAAAAAGATTACAAGCTCTCGGATACAGTGATCAGGGGATTGTTAAAGTATTGGCCCGTGACTAACTGCCAGAAGGAGGTCCTCTTCCTCGGAGAACTCGAAGAGGTTCTCGAGGCTACACAACCTGTCGAGTTCCAGCGTTGCATGGTTCCTTTATTCCAACAAATTGCTCGCTGTCTCAATAGCTTCCATTTCCAGGTTAGTGATCTCTTATCCAGTTTCAAATTCTGGAACTGTTGCTATGGAGTGCTTTCTGGCCGGGAATGACATTGCGTCAAGCATAGCTTAGTGGATATCATACTGTAAATTCCGAAACCATCAATCTTTGCGTACCTCTCTGACCATCCGTTCCGGCAACAGGTAGCGGAAAGAGCGCTGTTCCTGTGGAACAACGAGCACGTGGTGAACCTGATCGATCAGAACAGGAGGGTGATCCTTCCGATAATATTCGAGGCGATGGAGAAGAACGTCGGATCGCACTGGAACCAGGCGGTGCATGGGTTGACGGTGAACGTGAGGAAGATGTTCATGGAAATGGACGCCGAGCTGTTCGAGCAATGTCAGGTCGAGTACGAAGAGAAGAAAGCTAGGTCCAAAGAAGTGGAAGAACGACGACAACTCGCCTGGAAGAGATTAGCCGAAGCAGCTGCCCAGAGAGAAGAAGACACTAATATTGATATGGTCACTTCCTAAATAAAACGGTATTTTTTTTAATCCATCGATATACTTTTTGATTCTCCTCTCCATTTTATGTCTTTCATCATGGGGGCTCCAAATATTTTTCCAATTCCAACGGCGTCGTCGATATTTATATATTTAATTTTTTTTTAATTGTGGGGTAATCGTCTCAGTTTTATGTGGCTATATGTCTAAGGAATTCGTTTCGGTATATTCCGATTGTGTTTTGTGAGATCTTCGTCTGGTTTGTTTTTTTCCTGTCTGAAATCTCTATATGGGATATGTGTAGGTTGTGTTGGACACGTCACCAGACAGAGAATCTTAAAACTTCCGAACTCTACTTTCCGTTCTTTATGTGGTAGGGAATCAACAAACATATGTATAGGTTTCGGTTCATGTTAAACCGGTTCGGTTATATGTTTGAATGTTTTCCACAATAAAAGTTAAAATTAAATCATCGTTAAAGTTTTGTTATTCTCTCTGGGGCTAATGGGCTAATAATGAAGTGAGGCCTTTTGGATAATACTCTTTCGTAATGGGCCTGCCCTATAAACACTTCCACCGAGAATCTCTGCTCTGAGCGGAAAGAGGCCGAGAATTTGTTAGCGGCGGAAATGGCGGTTCCGAGGGGGGTGGCAAGAGGACATCGAGTATGGAGAGAGGAAGATGGTGACGACTCCGACGACGATCTCGACGTTCCGCCGCACCTCCACAACTTGGTCGCCGCCGTTCAGACACGCTCCGCCCTTGGTACTTCATTTCTCCTCCTCCTGTTGTTGATATTTGATAACTGTCTGTTTTTTGTTACGAATGTGTTTCTCACTCTCATTGAACTAATTGTACATATTATTGTCGGGCGCATATGCGAGTGGATTATGTGAATATGTAATGCGTACGGATGGGCATGATTTGAATGTTTCATCAGTTGGATCATGGAAACGAAGAGTAGTGCAGGATTTGCCTTGTGTTTTCTGTTTACTGCGTAGTTTTGGTTTTTGGAGATTTGACACCTCACAGAAAATGTATTTTGTTGTGGAAAATATAAAAGTTGTAATTTGGATTATCTGACGGCAGAATTCTAATTAGAAGAAAAACAGTCTGTTACTGATTGATTGACGCCAGGGTGTCGAAATGTTTACAGTCTAGAGGGTTTGTGAAATGTCGATGAATTGTTTGAAGATGATATGTATGCTCCTTCTCTGAATTGAGTGAACTCAGTGGATGATGTTTTATCCTTTGGTAATCTTTCTCCGAATTGGTAGATAATTTGGACGGGGGTGTTGACGAACCACTTGAAGATGGAGACACAGCTCTTCATCTGGCTTGTCTCTATGATCACCTGCCTTGTGTTCAGGTTGGTCTTGCAGCATGCCAGTGGTTTCATCTATCGAAATCGCACCATTTTCATTGCTTGTTCATGCCTGACTTGCAAATTCGTTAAATGGTGTCGACACTTATAAATGTAGCTTCTCCAGGAACGAGGGGATAATGTGGAGGTCAAGGATGAAGATGGAGCTATACCTTTACATGATGCTGATGGAAACTTAGAATTTCCACCAAATAAAGAACAGAAATAGAAAGATTAATGCTGCTTAAGGGAGACCATAAATCCCAAGGGCTTCAAGATTGCCCTCTTCTCCAAATCTTTGATCAAAATGTTGATGTCCATTCATAACTTAGAGTTTACCTTATATACATATGTCAAGGAAGCTAATGACAAAGTAGGGTTTCCCTACTTGTAAATTGCCCAAAATACACTTCTCTACTACAAACTACTATATTTAACTAGGTGTGTTCACTTGCCGATCTCTATCAGATCGAGTTATTAGTCTATATGCTTTAGTTTCTCACATTTTGGTTTAATTTGTGCAGGATTTATAGAGATAGTGCAGCCTTATTATTAGCAGAGCCGGTGGTCCTGAATGTGTGAAGAGGATGTTACATATAGTCGATGCAGGAGACACTGTACGTATGTCATTGTTAGATGGGCCACGGCAATGATAAATCTCTCTCTCTCTCTCTCTCTCCAATCAGAGCTTTTTTACTGTGGTAGCCTCTTCATCATGCAGCGAGAGGTGAGCACGGGGACGTGCTAAGGTTTCTGCTGGCTTCTGGGGCCTCACCAAGAACGGCAAACTCCTTTGGCAAGGTACATATGAAAAACTTTAAGCTAAAACCCTCCAAGAATACTAAAAACTCGATATCGCATTGCATGAAGATTTTGTTCCATCAAATCCGGGTTTTAGGGTAATCTGGAACCATGAAGCAGGCTAAACTGGCTCCGATCGAGGGTTAGGCTTAAAATGGTTTGTTTCTCCATCATAGAAATACCGTTTTGTGTTCATAACGATGGTTTTTCAAATGGGCAGACACCTGGTGAATTAGCTGATCCAGACACCGAAGCCAAGAGAGATTTAGACTTAGCCGATAGCACCATATCTAGCTTTAGTTAAAATCTCCACAAAATGGAACTTTTGATCTGGGTTTTTTTTTCCTCCAAAATTAGGAAGTAGGAAATGATTTCATTGTGATCTTCGCCTCTTTGTTGATCCTATATTTTGTTACTTGTGAAATGTGGATGAATCAACCCAAAAAACAAAAAGGACAGCACAGATTGTAGGCAAATGTGATATCCAGAATCTGCGTGTTTGGTGCTCTTACAACATATTGACAAACTCTGCCAACCAGACGATAGATAGTCTAGCATTAGCCTTTTTCTTGTCATGTTTGACTCTGTTGTTGTCCATGTGCTTATATCATTTTACTGAAAGCTCATTTTCTTGTCGTATTTGGCTTTGTTATGTCCATCATCAAGCAACCCTTTCATAAACCAAACATAAGTCTCGACTTTGTCGGAGACCGGTGAAACAACCAAGGCTTTGATTGCGTCGGCTGATTTTTTTTTTTATTTAAAAAAAAACACAACACGAACACGAAGATCCTCTGTCCCCGTTGGTTGCTTTGCTGAGCCGGACCAGAGCACAACGCACATGCAAACAGTGCGCCCATCTCCCCGCCTGTAGACGATTGACAGCTCAGCTTTATTACTCTCTTACACTGTACACCATCTCCACTGGATTATTCTCTCCTCCTCCCTTTTTTAAAACCTCCCCGTACTTTCTCGAATCTCTCAAAATCGCCCCGCTTCTCTTTTGTCCAAAACTTGAATCATTTGAAATATATAAAAGTTTTGGGGTTTGAATGGAAACTATGAAACTACAAATATATATTAAAGTATTATCCGCCAAAGTTTTCAGCAGTTATCATACTGCTTTTGTTTATTCTTTCTTCTTCTCTGCCTCTGAATAATTTTTCTTCCTTCGGCGAACAGATTTTCCCGAGAAACAAACAGAGCTCGGGTTATCTTTCACCGATCAAGAGAGAAGAAGCTGTTCTCCTGGCATGGCGGTTGCTCCGGCAAGAGCTCGTACTGACTATGATTACCTCATCAAGCTCCTTCTCATCGGCGACAGCGGTAGGTCTCTCTCTCTCTCTCTCTCTCTCTCTCTCTCTCTCTCTCTCTCTCTCTCTCTGTATTTCCTGATGAACTAAACTTATGGGGACGCGTACGGTGTTTTGTTCTCTTTATTTTGCTGAGAATCGTCCGTATAACCTCTCTCCGCGCCTGTTTTGCAATCTGAACTAGGGTTTGAGTGTTTTTTTATGTGTTAGAGATTTCTTACTTGGTGACAAAATAATAATAAAATATGGGAGAAGAACTACACAGTAGGGGATTATCCAAGTAACAAGCACCGATCCAGCTCGTTTCTCTTTACATGCTGAATTTGGTAATAAAGTTGGAAAAAGTAATTTGAGAAAATTTGTGGACGTGGAATTGTTGTCTTACTTCGCCTCTTTCTGACAAATTCTTACTTGTATTTGCAGGTGTTGGAAAGAGTTGCTTGCTTCTGCGTTTCTCGGATGATACTTTCACCACAAGCTTCATTACTACCATTGGGTATGTCTTCTTCCACAATGCCTGTTTCTTGTTCATTCATGTTGTGTCTTCGAAACGTTTTTGTAAAGTTCATTTTAACTTTTTCCAGAATCGATTTCAAGATAAGAACTGTTGAACTTGACGGGAAGCGTATCAAATTGCAGATTTGGGATACTGCAGGACAAGAACGCTTTAGAACTATCACTACAGGTAACCGGCTTTCGTTTGGTGATTGTGAATTGCTGTTCTTATGTAGGAATCAGACACTCTTCAGAGGCATGCAGATTCTGAAAATTGTTTGTTGTTTCCACATGCATCTGTTTTTTTTTCTCTTGACGACAGCATGCTGTTCATTCCATTATTATACCTCAAGATGCATAAAACATCTTCAGCTGCTTTGTTTCTTGTCCATGTACACGTTTTAGAAATTTTGTTGAAATGTCCTTGGTTCGTCTTCTCGTGCAGCATATTACAGAGGAGCCATGGGTATACTGCTTGTCTATGATGTGACAGACGAGTCGTCCTTCAACAGTGTGTCCCTGGACCTTTTTTCTGTGTCTTATTTTTGTTTGATCGAGATCTCGTCCTTAAAAACTAGATAATGACATGTTGAAAGAAAATCACCTGAAATTCACCCACCTAAAGCTTATGACACGTGTGATGATCAATTGAATGTTTCGACACAGACATTAGGAACTGGATGAAGAACATTGAGCAGCATGCATCAGATAATGTCGACAAAATATTGGTTGGTAACAAAGCCGATATGGATGAAAGCAAAAGGGTAATCAGCTGCATACTTTCACAAACTCCATATGGTAGTCGAGATTTGGTAGTTTGCTGATGTTGCTGTCTCCCCCCTCTTTAGGCTGTCCCTACAGCAAAGGGTCAAGCATTAGCTGATGAGTATGGAATCAAATTCTTTGAGACGGTGAGCTGGGCAAGAGAATGAGCCTTATTTTTGTTTCTTTTTTCTATGGGAAAAAGTCGAGACACCTGATGTGTGATTCAAATGGCTGCAGAGTGCAAAAACGAACCTCAATGTTGAGCAGGTTTTCCTTTCTATCGCAAGAGACATAAAACAGAGACTGACTGAAACCAATTCAAAACAAGAGGTAATAAAACACAACAGATTATCGCTGTTATATCAGCTACTATACATGCCACTATTTTTAGGCCGTATACCTAAGAAACATCGGTTTTTCTTATTTTGCAGACCCAGGCCTCGTCTTCAACAACCATCAAGATCACTAAACAGGATGGTGCTAATGCATCTTCTTCATCAACCGAGAAATCAGCTTGCTGTAGTTACATTTAGAAGTATCTTTGCTCTTTTGCCTGGGTTTGGTTCTTAATCTCTTACCGTCTTTGCTCCTTTCATCGTGCCAAGTTCATCCAATGTTCTTATACTGTTGTTACCTTGTACGTGTATGATATGCCATTGATCACTGTGATTTTATTAACCGTGTTGTCAAGACTTGTGTTCTACTTGTTTATCGGGTTTGTACAATGCTCTTCCAGGAATTGGGAGACAATTTGGTGAAAACTATGATCATTTCAAGTGTTTTAGCATGTATAATTCCGTTTGTCCATTTCAATATAAATCTCCTCTTGATTTTGTTTCTTTGATAGAATCTGAATTTCAGATAGTGAACTGTAGCTCTCCCCGGAAAGAAACAGAGGATAAAGCACCAGTCTTTGCTTTCTCTTCTTCAGTGTAAAGATGAGGTTACAACAGCACATTCAGAGGCTAAGAAGAAGAAGAAGAAGATCAAAGGAAGCAACAAATTTACAGAGAAGCCAAACAATTTGTTTTCAGATTTTACACACCAAGGCAACAAAGTGGTACGAGACAAAAAGGGTTAGAAGTTGCAACAGCCTGCTTGTTGAGTCTGGTGTTCTGTCTTCTGCTTCAATATGTTCCTCTTGGCGGCATTCGATCCTTCTTCCAAAAGACTAGGTACCTCCATTATCTGTTTCCACCCAAAAATTTTTTAAAAAAAAAAAACTAATCTCTGAGTCTGTTGTTACATCATGTTTGTTTCTTTATTCCTTGATCATGAATCATATTTGCCCGGGGTTTTTCAACAGGGATAAGATCTCTCTAGGGTTTAGGGTTTTGTTAGAGATTTTTACCTTCAAAGCCAGCTGTTCGAAGCATTGCTCGACGTTTTCTCGGGTTTTAGCGCTGCATTCAAGAAATAGGCAGTTGAGGTCTTTAGCAAGAGCGATCCCTTCGTCTCGGCTAACTTCCCTATCCGATGATTCCTGTAATCACATGGCCGGTAGGGTTCGTCAGTGCGACCCGACAAATTGAGTGAGTTTGAGTAGGTATGATTGACTCGGAGGTGGTGACTCACCCGGTCGACTTTGTTGCCGACGAGCACCTTGACGCAGTCTTGGTTGGTGGAGTAAAGCTCGATCTCCTTAGCCCAAACGTCTGATAGGTTCGTAAACGTTTCCCTCCTCGTCACATCATAAACTTGCATCATTGATAAAGGGAATGAATTGTCGTCAAGAAATTCCAATACGTGGGATTTGGATTTGGATTTGGATTTGGATTTGGGAGAGTAAATGCTGCGTACCGAGAACGATGCCCTGGGCGCCTCTATAGTAAGAGCTTGTCAGTGTTCTGAACCTCTCTTGCCCAGCTGCCAACACACACAAATCACAAGATTTGTAAGGAAGTTTCCGAATATGAGATGAAAAAAAAAAAAGGAATTCAGGGGAATGGGATGGATAAGAAGAAACCTGTGTCCCAGATCGTCAGTTTCAGTCGTTTCCCGGCAACTGTAAGCTGTTTGATCTTGAAATCGACACCTTCAAATGGTTGCAAGTTTCGGATCAAAACAACAAAAGACTGGGTTTCTTGCAATGAAACAGGATTTGAGGAACATGGGCCAGATGGCTAATGCCATGATGGGAAAGATGAACATAGCTGAAGAGCTTTCACACATGGATGGATATGCCTTACTATTTGATCGGATTCATATAATTGGCCCGTTTTTTTTTTTTTTTGTTAACACAAGTCTCTCTCTTTATTACCAGACCAGACTAAATATCACGTGTCTGAAAATCTCTCTCTCTCTCTCTCTATATTCAGCTAAGAAATCAAAGCCTAAGCTCTCATCAATGGCACTATTCTCAGCATCAGCTTCCTATGGATCCTACAGTCAGAGACCCATTACGGTACTCTATTTTCTCACTGTTTTCTCGGGAACCAAACAGAAAATGAATTGAAAGAGAAGGAAAAACGCCAATCCGAGGAGGCGGCATACCGATTGTGGGGGCAAGATCTTCGACAGAGCTGGAGATGAAGCTCACAAGCAAGCTACTTTTACCAACACCCGAATCTCCGATTAACAGGATCTTGAACGATAGATCATAACCTCCTCCTTGTCCTGAAGAAGATCCCATTCCTCAAACCCAGATGAAATCTCCGCTAAAGCCTCGTTCTTTTCTCGATCTAATGCCCAGAAAATAGAGACCCGACACACGATAACAGGAAAGAGAAAAAGGGGAAAGAGAACAAGAACTCACGAGAGATCAAATCACATATACACTAAAAAAGCAAGATTTTTTATGTTCCTGTGTATGTTTTTTAGCTGTCTATAATGATGATGCTCGTTATTTATATCATCATCTCCGTTTTCAACTACAAATCGAAAAGGCGAACATGCCCATTTTCAAAAAGAAATTTGCAACAAATGGGAAGAGTTTATTCTTTACGGAGAAAGAAAACGGCTGAAGACCTGACATGACGCTAACGTTATTCTTTGCTTCTCTCCCCCACGGTGTGATGTTTCGGACACGCATTTGTTTGGGCTATTATTATCATAAAAATTTATATGTTTTTTTTTTAAAAAAAAAATCTTCATGTCAAAGTGATTGTGTGTTTTAATTAATGCAAATAAAAAAATTATGTGAATGGAACAACCAAACAGATAATGTAACGAAGGACTCTGGATTACATTGGTAATAAATTGTACCAAATCTCAAATTTGGAAGAAAAAAAAAAGTATATTCCAAACCAAATGGTTCACTCCCAACATCTAGATTATTATGGATTTGATCCAAGATATTCAGTTATAAAAATAAAAATTGTTTAGTAGTTTTCTTGGTTTTTTTTTTTTAAACTCTTCCAAATATAGATGAGAACCTATCAATTTTACTATAGAATGAATTAGATGTATAAAAATCTATTTATTCCATTTGTTTTATAAGCGATTTGGAGAATCGCGGTTGTGAACGCAAAACGAAATCCAAACAAGGCCTTAGTTAGCTGTCGGCCAAGTCTGAAACCCCACGCGCTCCAGTAAAACGCGTGTTTTACACGCTCCTGTACGTGGACCAATAGCAATAGGTCCTACTGGTATGATTTTTTTTTAAAATAATTTTCCTATTAAAATATTTTGCAAAAAAGGCGAGGTGATAAAATAGTTGTGGTCACTGTAAGTATAGTTAAGTCTAAATGAACTACGTAGATGATTAATATCATAATATTATAACAAATTGGAAAGGTGGGTCTTTGTACACTTTTAAGACTTAATAATAATTTGGTAATTGATAAATGATTGTGTTCAATTTTTATGATATGTCTAGAAATTAATTTAATTTTGGTTAAATCAATTTTAGTTTCTACTTTTGAGTTCTGTATTGATAGTCAAATCCACGGAATACGAAAAACTTTTCACAACATTATAAATAATTTTTCAACCTAAAATTCAAATATAATTTTTACTTATCTTTGGCAAACATTTTATTGTACAAAAAAAATTTTAACTTTCATTTCAGGTGAAATGAAAATATTGGAGTTATTTTCGTGAACTTAGGAATGATGGTGTTATTCTACAAAGAAGAGATATCTATATGCTACAGAATTTTAACAAGAAAATATTCTTCGTATCCAAAAAATGTTACTATATTTATATATTCACGTATCCTGTTTTAAAACAATATCAAGAGATTTTTATTTGAATAAAAAAAGTGAGAAATAAAAGTAAAACAAAAATCTGTATAAAATGCAACCTCACGCGCCTTTTTGTCCAAAGCTTTTGGGGCGGTGTAATAAACGCGCTATATGTGCGTGTGGGGGAGCGTGTAATATCCAATGGAAAGGAGCATCCCGTTTCAGGCCTTTAAAGCCCATTTAAGGCCCAATAAATAAATACGCACGTTGCGCATTTTTTTTCACGCGTGCGGACACTTCACACGTGACTACGGGCATTTGTTTTAATTTTATTGGTCCAATTTTTTTTAACATAACGTGTTTGTCGGATGAACGGATTATATTAATAATCATATTATAAATTCAAATTATATTAGCCTGAACGGATTTTAAAAATAATTTTAAAAAAAATGATCCAAAACAAAAATAAACATTATTATTTTACGAAAATAAATCCACATACAACTTTTTCTAAAATAGAAAAACCAGAATTCAAAAAAGAACTAGGGTTATAAAAAGAGGTTCGAATCGCGGGCTGGCTTACGAGCCAGCTCATATTTTTCCGAGCTGGACTTAAAATATTTCAGTCCAAAAAAAAATCAGATCACAACGAATCAGTCCGGCTCGTGCCGGACTGGCTCACAGGCCAGAAATTTTTTTTTAAAATTTTTTTTTTAATATTTTTATATATTTTAAAATATGTTTATATACAAATTATATTTTTATTACATATTTAATTTGTTTTGTTTAAAATTTTAATTTTTTTTATATTTTAAATATTTTTATTATTAAAATTTTATTTTAAAATTTATATATATGGTTCACGGACCAACTCGTTTGGCTCGCGGGTTAAGACGATATGAATTGGAATGATATATTTTTTGTTTGCTAAAAAACGGGTTAGACTGACTAAAATTTTTCCAAATCGGAACGAATCGGACTGGATTGGATCGAACCGGCCTTCTTTATACCCCTAAAAAAAACCAAAAAGTAATCGACGTTATTATACTACGTGGAAGGGAGGGAAGAAAAATAATAATTATGATGAGATTCACTTAAACGAGCAAGCAGATCACTAGAAAAACACACACAGATTTACAAAAACGAGAGAGAGAGAACCCAAGTAAATGGAAAACATTATAGGAATTGATTTGAGTTTGGAATCAGCAAGTGGGGGGGAAGGCCTCGTCGATGAAGGAGAGGAAGCGGTGGGAGTAGAAGGTGGGATCGACGGCGGAGATGGAGAGGGAGTCGAACTGGAAGGACTTGAAGGCATGCTCTATCCTCTTGCCCATGTTGTACTCCTGCAGTATGTCTATGATCCCCAAGTAGAGCACCACGTCGCTCGCGGATTAAGACGATATGAATTGGAATGATATATTTTTTGTTTGCTAAAAAAAGGGTTAGACTGACTAAAATTTTTCCAAATCGGAACGAATCGGACTGGATTGGATCGAACCGGCCTTCTTTATACCCCTAAAAAAAACCAAAAAGTAATCGACGTTATTATACTACGTGGAAGGGAGGGAAGAAAAATAATAATTATGATGAGATTCACTTAAACGAGCAAGCAGATCACTAGAAAAACACACACAGATTTACAAAAACGAGAGAGAGAGAACCCAAGTAAATGGAAAACATTATAGGAATTGATTTGAGTTTGGAATCAGCAAGTGGGGGGGAAGGCCTCGTCGATGAAGGAGAGGAAGCGGTGGGAGTAGAAGGTGGGATCGACGGCGGAGATGGAGAGGGAGTCGAACTGGAAGGACTTGAAGGCATGCTCTATCCTCTTGCCCATGTTGTACTCCTGCAGTATGTCTATGATCCCCAAGTAGAGCACCACGTCGTAGCACTCGTGGAACATCTTCTCTTCCTTCCCCGGCTTCACCTCCGCTCTCGCCGGCATGTTCACTCCCAGCTGTATCTGCAGCCTGCTCTTTTTTTTTTTTTAATAAATGAATTCACGAGCAAGAAATGAATGAATGAATGAATGAATCCTTCCATGCCTGGCTGTTGTTCCGGGTAGAAGGAGATCGACTTCTTCGTCACCAGCAGCTGATGCACGCAATCTACTGCCTCTGATGTGGGGGCCCACCACTACTACATCCTCTGTCTCTCGAGGGACAAGAACCAGCCCTTGTGGGTAGGAGAGCATGTCGTCCTCTACTGTATCTGTCGAAATCATCACATGCCTCTTGTAACGGATGAAAACTGACAAAGCAGATACGTTCACTGCCATTGAAGGGTAAGTCGAAAAAAGGAATCTCACCGTCCTCAGCCACACTTTCCAACCCATCAGCCGTCATGCTCCGGGTTCGGACCATTTGGGACCTTAGGTGTTGCGGAGCTCGGTGGTGCACACCCAGTAATAGACTGTAATCCATTATGTTTTGGGCTTCTAAAAACTTGCTGTCTATCTCTATCTGCCTGCAATACCACCACAAGATGAAACCGTTAGCTAAATGTTACCCAGAAAATAACGATATGGCACGTGGGATATAGGCCCTTGGAACAAAAACAAAAACATTACTTTAGCAACGCCTCTCGCCAAGAAGGCTCCAAGTAGAAAGAGTAGTTCAGATCCAAATCTTTAAGTATCGAGTTCTCATCTATTTCGACATTGTATGCAGATCGTCCCAATGATGAACCTTTCAGGTCAAACCTCCGATGGATTCTTAACTCTGTACAGAACATGTTACCCATCACCACAAAGCGGAACTGCAATTCAAAGAGTGAGTTTTCAGTTAGTCTTGGTTCATACTGTCGAGTTTCAAACACTGTAATGCAGAAGACAATTAGAGGTTTCCCTCTAAGTCTCCTGATAAATAGATTAGCCAACGAAAAACTCCAAAAGCTTGGGTGTTTATTGGGATCATATTGAGTTTCAAGGGCTATACGGCTCATCGTTTCAGCACCTTTTGACCACTTGAAGGTTTAATTCTGTGAAGGCCAAAGAACTTGGTAATAAGTGTATTCTCATACTTCTTCACATGATGATGGTAATCTGGAAGCATCCTTATAAGAACCTACACCAGAGAAACATCGTTACTAGTTCGTAAATGCAATAGAGATCCAAAGAAATGGAAAAAGATCATAAACTCTGCCCAGATGAAGCAGCAACACAAAGAGTATAAAGGGCAGACAGTGCTCAAATTAGAAATTAGGGGAAAGAGAAAGATGAAAGCGTTAAAGAAAAGGAAGCGATCTTCCTCAATCACTTTTAGAGAAAAAAAAAACAAAGTAGCAGATGTGGTGGATACATGGGTTACAAATACAAACCTTAACTTCAGATTTCCTTAGTGTTTTGATCATGAACCGGTCATCCTGAGATAGGAAGAATACACTGCCACTCTTCCCAGGAGAGGAAAGTTCCCTTAAGGTATCGTTTCCACAAATGGACATCATATAATCGGCCGCATCAATCTTGAACAGCTCTCTCAGGTCCCTAGAAGTTCCGGTAATGAATATATAATCAGAGAAATATTCCGTGTTTTTCAGGCGCGAGTAAAATTAGTATTAAAATAAACTTGTATACTAAAACCGTAAACATGTAGTTAAGTTCGGATAAGAGCTTGGTGTTTCTCTCCTTTGAACTCATAAACTCTAGCTTGACTTGAGTTCCTTGACTTTATGGGATACAACAAAATTTGAACAAATCAATGTCTAAGTAGTAAGTACTAACCTGAACACCATTGGGCAGTAGTCTTTCCATTTAAAGTCTTCCGAGTGATGAGGAGGAGTCATCGAGGAGCCATCTTTGGGGAAATTCATCCAAAAACTAGCCCGAGGTCCAAAGTCCGATGTCCTTACTTCACGCCTCTGTATGGGTGTAATCTTCCCCACGGTGTATCTGACCATGTTCTAGGGCATGTCAAATGATAGTAATGTTTAAACTAGTGCAATAACACAAACGCATTAGATAATTGGTAAGGAGTACTTGTCAGAAAGCAAAACACTCTAGCTATTTAGGCATATCTTTATAAGGATTCATCATTATAAAGCATACAGCCAAAGAGAGAAGGCTCTAAGAGGAAAAACAGAGCAAGAAAGAACCATCTTCCATACCTGATCCCGAGCTGCAAACTAAGCATCAAATCGTAACTCCGGTGACCTTTAATAATAACTTCACCAGGCTTCTTAGCCTCTTTCACAAGTCTTTTGTGTCTCCTTTTTGCTCTCCTCGATGGGCGTGAAAACGCATTGTTTACCACAAGTTCACTTATTAAGACTCCTTGCATATATTCACGCTCCAAGATTGGTAAGTTCGATTTATTTTGGATGTTACCACTATCTAAACTTGGCTCAGATAAATCAGATGAGTAATCATGTGCGATCACCTTTTCAATAGATACCTCAAGACTCCAACGTCTTTCTAAAGAAACCCGCCCATTCCGAGACTGTTCCAAGTTTATTAAGCTCCCTTTGGAAAGCCTATCAGTTGAACCGAGTCGGTTTCCACGGTTCATACCAACCCTGATGTTGCCCACGTTAACCGAAGAAGCAACTTGGTTCTGTCTTTTCAAATCCGGTAGTACACCCCTTTTTCTTAGAGCATCTAAATAACACTCTTGCACATCAGGAACCTTACTCCCTGCAGGATAGAATGAACCTTTACCGTCCTTCAAACCCCGAGTCCAGGTTCCAACATAGCAACCACCATCGCTCCATGTGTAGACTCCAAATCCATGCATCATGCCATTCAACCAGCTTCCTTCATAAGAGTCTCCACTAGTCCATGTCAGAGTACCTTTGCCTGACATTTTCCCAGCTTTCATATCTCCGAGGTAGACATTTCCATTTGCCCATGTATACTTGCCCGGCCCTTCTGCCACCCCTTGAATCCAAGAGCCTTCAAAGATATCTCCGTTAGGGTAAACCTGATACCCCAGCCCGTGTTTGAGATTAAGCCGCCATCTTCCTTTATACGTCATGTTGTTAGCACCTATATACGTCCCTGTACCATGCATATACCCACCTGAAAATTCCCCCTCATACAATGCCCCAGAATGCCATCCCATCTTTCCATTCCCATGCCTCATCCCACGCCTCCATTCCCCCTCAAAAAAGCAGCCATCTGACCAGATGTACTTCCCGGATCCCTCTGGGACATTTCGGAGCAGCGAACCAGAGTAACATTCTCCATTAGTGAGCAACAGCTCCCCAACTCTGAATCCAGTATTCTCAGACGTGTCAGAAAGTTCTCCGTTGCTTAATATCGATGCGAGTTCTTTGTTGGTAATTGCATCAGCGGATTTTGTTCTTTCTGCGCAAGCAAGTGGTCCTCCCACATCAAGGCCGGCCACGGGGCCAGACATGCAAATTTCCGAGGGAACACCTTTGGAAAAACTCGTAGGTAGGGCTCAAGTTCCCTGGGAGATGACAGAACAAATCTGGGTCACACGCCTGAATGAGGCTCTTAAACAAAAATGAGATGCTATCTCCAATAATCCCTCTCCCTCGTTAGAGGGTGCAGGAATAGATGTCAACACAGAAGCTTTACAAGTCCAGTACCAGAACTTAGGATATAGACTGTGCTGAACTATGTTACCTTAACTAAAAGCATCCAGTTCCAATTCCGACAAATTGATGTAGAATCAGAACCAAAGAGGAAGACAAGTTGACTAATTTACGATGAAAAGACAACTGAGCAAAAGCAATGGGACAACACAAAATAAGGTATGCTCGTCAAAAAGGAAAGATTTTTCGAATTCCCTGTTAGGGTTGGCATTTTAAGATGGGCATCTGGTTCTTAGTACCACATGCAAAGGCAGGGCTTCGGTTTCACACACAAAAAGCATAACATAAACAAGATTTTTTGGGAGGAAACATCTGCAAACCAATGGAATTCTCATCAAAGAAATGATTCCTCCAAAAATCTCCAAATAAAACCATGGAAACTTGGAAATGTACTCACCCAGTGGAGACTTACACGATTCTAAACCAATGATCAATCATCAGTCCTACTAAATCTCAAAACCGAATCAATGTCACTCCAACATCCAATTCGCAAATCTAAACTCGCAGAGCGAAAGATCTATGGCTTATGATACTGAAAAGGAAGAAGTATATACCTAATGGATTAGTAGGAACACGAGTTCATGAACTGAGATACTCAAAAACACCAAAGGTTAAATCGAAAGCAACAGTTTGGGAGATCGCATCATTTATCAAACTAAAGAAAACCAGACAGAGAAACAAACAGAGCACATGGAAATGTCCGAATCGAAAACGAAATGGGATCCAACACCAAATCGAATCACCACCCACAAAAATCCAAAAAAATCAGACCGAAACCATAACCAATCCCCGGCAAGTAAAACGAAGAAGAAGAAGAAGAAGAAAAAAAAAAGTGGAGTTGCAGCAATCGTACGGACAAACTCAGCGCACGTAGTCTATCTTCTTCTTCGTCGTCGTCGTCGTCGTCGTCGTCGTCTGCTTTCTGGTCAATCTTTCCAAAAGAGACGATTGGACCAAATCCCAAAGCTTAGCGCCACAACAACAGCTTCTTCTTATTTCAGCAGAAAACGAGGAAAAAAAAGGAAGAAAAAAGCTCCATAAAAATCAAGCTCCATTTTTACCCATGTGAAAAGACGTATATACCCTTCTTCGGTTTCCGTCTTC